TTGATCATCCCATCGGTATGCCACCCTATTTGTGCAATTTCGAGCACTGTTCGGGCACTTTCAGGCAGCGCAGCTCATTGCGGCAGCTGACCGGCCCCTTGGCTGTCAGCTCATCGCCCATTCTTAATGCACTGTAGCAAGGGAAATCGTAAGATTAGCTTACGGATCTCTTCTGAGGGGGTCAGCGCAGATCATCTGAGCTGAGAAGGGGTTTACTACGGGCCTATGTTTGGGATACAGTGTTTGGTGTACTTCCTTATGACGCAGCAAATATAAAGAGGCGATAAAGCACTATATCATTGTTGAAATTTGCAAACACAAGAAAATAGGAAAATAGATTGATAAAGCTCTCAAAAAGCCAGATAAAAAGCTTGGGGATTGAAAGTCAAATAAGAGAGATTATGCTTGATGACGTGGTCTCACATATGACGCTTTGAGCCATTTGCAAGAACTTGAGAGCTTTAGTGGAAGTAAAGATCACATAACAAATTTCTCTAGCACAAGCGCAGCTTGCTGCAGAAGCTTTGTCCGATTTTTGTTGCTTCATGTTTGAAGCCGCTGTTTCGAGAGATTTTTATTCTCAATGCGATTTTGTTTGTGGAAAGCGCTCTAGCTCTTTCTGTGACATACTAAATTCCAATAAAATCCACAATCTAGCAAGAGTGCTGGCTTAGGATTTTATGTAGCCAAGAATAAGATCTCACTTAAGAAATATGTGCTTGCAAAATTTTATACTGCGTCTCCCAACTCAGTTCCTTGTATTTGCCACGGATTTAAGGCATTGAAGAGGCTATTATTTATTCATAACCCAATTTCATGTAAAATTGATCTTGGGGGGCAGAGCTGGCCGAGAGGTTAGTGCCCTTGACTACCGCGAGGAAGGTCACAGGTTCGGTTCCGCGGCGGGCCTAATTTCTTTGGCAAAGCTCTTGCCCCACGAATCCAGCGTCAGGCTGCTCATCCACAGAGGAAGCAAGCGACAAGCCGGCTGAAGAAGAAACGCCGTCGCATCAGATGCTCTTTTATGTCTCATAGTATACTTCGAGTAAAGCTAGGGCGTTCCCCGGAGGCGACGCACATTCGAACCCGACGAATGTAGACAGTAGGCGAGGGTTACCGTCTCAGCAAGATGAGCGGGGACGGTTAAAGAAGCTAGCTCATTACAGGAAAACATCCATGTTCTCGGCATTACGTCTAGCTACTATCAACGTCGGTTCACTCACAGCTCGACATCGCGATCTGGCCGATCTTCTCAGAAGACGAAAAGTAGACATCGCAAGTATTCACGAGACCAAATGGAAAGGTGAAAGGCCGCGTGACATCGGAGATGGCTACAAGCTTCTGTACAAAGGAACGACGAACAACAGGAACGGTGTCGGCATAGTTGTCTCTGAAGCTCTAAGAGATAAGATTACCAGTGTAGATAGAATGAGTGACCGTCTCATGGCCCTTTCACCTTTCCATTTGGTCTCCTGAATACATGCGATGTCTACTTTTCGTCTTCTGAGAAGATCGACCAGATAAGATTGGATACCGGGAAAAAAGTGCTTCGAGTAGTAACGGCCTACGCACCGCAAGTGGGATGTGAAGAAGCGGAGAAGGAAGAATTCTAGCAGCTGCTTGATAACTACGTCGGTTCAATATCAGAAGAAGCGATGTTACTGATCGGTGCGGATCTCAATGGGCATGTCGGAGAACGACGAAGTGGTCTACAGAAGTGCCATGGAAATCACGGTTACGGAACACGTAACGGCGAAGGAGGACGTATTCTGGAGTTCGCTACAGCCCACGACCTAGCCTTGGCGAATACGTACTTTATCAAGAAGACCAACCACCTCGTCACGTATGCCAGCGGAGACCAGCCACAGGACATAAACGAAAGATGGAAAGCTCACTTCGCAAAGATGGCGTCCGCTAACTTCGAATACGAATCCACCGTAACAGCCGACCCTGTGAATGGACCAGTACCAACTATCACAGAAGTAGAAGTCCGTACCGCCATAATGAAGACGAAGAACGGCACTGCAGGTCCAGACGACATCCCCAGCGACTTCTGGAGAAGTGCGGACAAGCTGGAGTCTCGTGGTTTACACGACTTCTGAATCAAATAATAGAATGCGGGAATATGCCAGATGAGTGGTACAGAAGCACGACGATACCAATATGGAAGAACAAAGGCGACATAGCCGACTGCTCCACATACAGGCCAATTCGACTCATGTGCCATAACGTTGAAGATCTTCGAAAGAATACTGGAGAAGCGGCTTCGAAGTATCATACAACTTGGCCCCCACCAATGCGGCTTCGTAAAGGGATGCAGTACAACCGATGCCATCCACACATGAGAATAATGGTGGAAAGAAGCAGGGAAAAGCAGTGTGAGCTTCATGCGGCATTCCTCGATTTGGAGAAAGCGTTCGATAGAGTACCACATCAACGAATATGGTGGACGTTGCGGAAGCACGAGGTACCAGAAGAATACGTCCGCTGGATCAGAATGATATATTAGGTTGTAACAAAATTAATGCAGGTTTTGAATTCCAACCGCAATAAGTCATACACTTCTCATTTCTAATTAGGTTGCAAAGTACCATTCGATAGAGCAAGCAAGCTCTACAAGAAGGCCATCTTGCTTTAGCAACAACTCTGGTCTACCACGAGTTTCGAGCCAAAAACTGAAAAGATTCAACTGTCCGAAAAATTGAGAAAAATGTAACTCAGTTCATAAAAAAACCTACAAAAATTCTAACTTGCTCACGTAAACACTATTCACATAAGACATCTATATACGCCTTTGCCGTATTTTTTTCTCTGTTAGAAATTAAGTAAACGGAAATTTTCGTGCATTTGCTAAAGTGTTGCTGTGCCGTCCCCACATAAGTAGTTGTATACTACAAATCTGTAGAAGTACAAACGTAAATTTTCAGCTCTCTACAAGCTTTTGTTCTCGAGAAATTTGAATTTTAGCTTGGACCACATGACTAGCGAAAACTTTATTCGATATTTTTCGAGAACTAAAGCTTGTAGAGAGCTGAAAATTCACGTTTATACTTCTACAGGTTTGTAGTATACAACTACTTATGTGGCAACGGCACAGCATCACTTTGGCAAACGCACGAAAATTTCCGTTTTCTTGATTTCTAACAGAGAAAAAAATACGGCAAAGGCGTGTCTTATGTGAATAGTGTTTACGTGAGCAACTTAGAATTTTTGTAGGTTTTTTATGAACTGAGTTACGATTTTTCTCAATTTTTCGGGCAGTTGAATCTTTTTAGTTTTTAGCTCGATACTCGTGGTGGATTAGAGTTGTTGCTAAAGCAAGATGGCCTTCTTGTAGAGCTTGCTTTGCTCTATCGAATGTCACTTTGCAACCTAGTTAATGAGAAGTGTATGGACTTATTGCGGTTGGAACTCAAAACCTGCATTAATTTTGTCACAACCTAATACAAAGGAGCCACCAGCCACGTACGAACAGCAGCAGGACGCTCAGACAACTTCCAGATAAACGCCGGCGTGCATCAAGGTTCCGTACTGTCGCCGCTTCTCTTCATCACAGTCGTGGACACGATAGTAAGAGACTTCATACGCCCGCTCCCATGGTCCGTCATGTACGCAGACGATGTGATCCTGATGGCGAGAAGCAGGAAAAAATCGGAGGTTGATGTGCAGACGTAATACGCAACTCGAGCTACATGGTCTGAAGATCAGTACCGCGAAGACAGAATACATGGAGCTGGGATCTCAAACGCCAGGAACGATCAAGCTCGCAGACACGGCAATCAAGAAGATCACGTCGTTCAAGTAGGTACTTGGGAAGTTGCACATCAGCAGATGGTTCACTTCACGACAAGATAAACGGCCGAATAAACGCAGCTTGAATGAAATAAAGGAGCCTTACAGGAATTTTGTGCGACAAACGGATGTCACTAAAGCTGAAGTCACAGATGTATCGCACTGTAATCCGTCCAACCGCGTTGTACGGAGGTGAATGCTGGCCAAGCACACGTAACGACGAGCGGAAGCTTGATGTGATGGGAACACGTATGCTGCGATGGACGATGGGCGTAACGATGCTCGACCACGTCACGAACGGTACAATACGATCCACCATGAAAGTAGCTCCCATAGTCAAGAAGCTGCAAAAAAGACGACTGCGATGGTACGGGCACGTGAGAAGACGAGAAGAACAACAACACATCACAAGGTTAGCAATGACAGTGGACGTTCCCGAGAAAAGACCACGAGGAAGACCAAAGCTAAGATGGACCGTTCGAGTGAAAGCAGACTTGAGAGAACTTGAGTTAAATGAAAGACAAGTCGTAGATCGAGAAGAATGGAAGAGGCTGACAAGAGCGGCAGACCCCGTGTAGAGACAGATGCAAGGATAAAAAAATGTAAAAATGGTCTTGCTTGTAAAATTTGTTGCCGAATTGTGATCGTTCGTTCGCCAAACAATAACTTTTTGTGAATGGAGTCAAACTATAAATCTACTTAGGTGTTACAGGAAAGTAAGAGCTAGCAGGGCCCATCACCAATCACTTTCCACTGGTCGTGACAAGTGAAAATTTGGCATGATTTGAAAATAGGCATACATGCGTGTAATTAAGTGAGGTCCGCCTTCTTTTTTAATTTGGAAACTCTCGGCGTCAAAACTTATGGGCTCCTTTCGGATATTAAATAATTTCTAAATTCTTCGAATTACCAAATTTTTCAAGTGAAGCATTGCAACTCCAAAAAACACACTTTTGAAAAAGTACATTGCAAAATTTTGGATTTCTTGCTTCTTCTCTAATAGGGTTTCTCGCAATGCTTAGTATTTTCCTAATTGCTAAGAAATATTGAAGAAAACTAATCTTGGAAAAAGTCATAACGCTGTGAATTTGAAAACTCAAGTCGAACAGAACTCATGCAGCAAGCTGATACTTCAAGAGCATAGGCGATCATCAGGTTTAGCGAAAAGTCTGCTGCTGCGAGCAGATTTTTTGTAAAGAAAGTCGTGCTTACATAAAATTTTTGATATCCTTTGGTTGGTCCTCTTCAAAATCTTTGGGCAGTTCTCCGTTGCGCCTAAGAGTTGCTTCGATGAAGTCTGTAATAGGCATTGGCGTTCGCATTGAACTAACAAGACAAGCTCTTACCGTAAATCTGCTCTCGGTCAACGAAATGGAGCTTGCTAGGATTTTCCGCAAGCGATAAATCTTTCCAAGATTTCTCATCAAATGCCGAAAACCATGGTGTTTATGGAAATTTAGTACTAAAGAAGGCCTCACCTGCACAAGAAGCATAGTCATGAAGTTTGCGAAAAATTCTGCTGTATTTCTTGGTCCTGTTCTTCTCAAGCTATTGTGGATTTGCTTAAGGTCAACGGTCCTCCCATTTTGTCCAACAAACAGTGTCAAATTTTCATCATTTATTTCACAGTCATCACGGCCAAACCACTCTTGTACGTGTTCGTCTGGTGTTGGTGGTTCTGGTGGATATGGTATGTCAACCTGTGTAGTATTTCAGAACATCGACGAAGATTTTTGGAAGTTTTAATATTTTACGCGACTGTGTTCGCGTACCTGATTTCCCATTATAATGGCAATGACGCGAATAAAACGAACAACATCCTCTTGCCCCGGAAGTTCGCGACCCTCGTGGTCTAATAAAGCATGTAGATTTGCCATTGCTTCATTAATCCGATGAATGTCAGGTGGTTGATTTTCTGCTATCCCTAAGAATTCGCTGGCCTTGCAAACTGTGTCTTTCGTGTAGTTGCTGTAGTTGCCCTTGATGCACTGAAACACAAAGCATGACATGCTTGCAACCCGCTTCCCAGGTTAGATTAAGCTTTCTCAAACTACAGTGACGTTAATTTCCTTGATCACAGCATTCTTTCTTTTTTCTCAAATTCTGCGTTGAGCCAATTTCGCTAAGAAAACATCATGCACTCTTTGCCTATAATTATAAAACTGTGAAACTTATAATAGCCAATGCGCGTATTGTAACTTTGCAAATGACAGTTTCGTTCTCTTTTAGTTTAGTAGTAGCAGGTGAAGTAATGTTTCTGACCTTCCAAGGATAACATTTACACCCTTCGTGAAGCAAAAGTAAAACTGAGAAGAGTGCAACAAAAACAAGAGCTGTAATGCCAGAAACGAAAGCCCCACTTAGAGAACCTATTATGTGTGTTTTTGAAAAGCGAAATTAGTGGATATACCGGAACGCAAATTTTGTGATTTACCCACTAATAATTAGTCATCGTATGTGGAAGGACTTACTTTAAAAATCTGTTCGAATGATTCGGCCATCGTTAGGAATCTACAGAGTTCTGTCTTTACGGCTGTTCAAATGTAATTCTAAAATAGAAAACATGCGTACGCGTCTCATATGGAAGCAACATGCAGTCAACTCTCTTACTCGAGCAAAGCTTCGAGATAACGGTTTCAATTAGGGTACGCAACAGGTGTGAAACGCACTGTATGAGGGCAGCAATACATGTTCTGAGTTAAGAATAGAATTAGGGGTTTGTTCAAGAATGTTTGACAAAAAATAAAGGACTGAATGTCTCTTCGGAATAATGAACATAATTTTTCAGCCTATTCTACATTTGGATATCATTATCATCATTAGACAAATTTTCCACCTGAGATTTAACTTTTGGTTGTATGGAACCACGCAACTGATTAGAGCGAATGATTAAGAATTTGTTTGGCCAGTGGTCGGCCTTCTTGCAAGGGAAACACGTTTACAAGAGCAATGATATGGTTAATTTCTTCCATCAAATTTGGGCAAATACGATAAAATAAATAGAAGTAAAACACTTAAAAAACTAAGAAGCCTCGAAAGCTCAGGTATAAAACAGGAAAAAATTACAAGCTCGGATAGTCTAGAGCATTCACAAAGTTGTTTAACATCAAAAGTAAGGGGAACGCAGATATTCTTTTAAGCAGTCTGCCAGTAAACCGAAACTGTGGAACTGAGTGTTTACTGCCCCTTCCTCGAACTCAGGTGATTGGCAGATTGGCTTATGTTGGTAAATTTCCCGCCTGAAGCTTGGGTTAACCTTGTTCTTTTCACTATTATGGAACAGGAATAGACAGTGAGGGAATAACCCTCAATCGAAAAGATGGATCCGACTTTGGCGTTAGAGAGTGAAAAAGGCAAATCGCCAGAGAATTCCATAGTCTGAAACGAATAAATACCAATATCTCACGCACCACCTTGTCATCAGTATTGAACTAAACCGTTACATCTGTGAACTCAAATGATAAAGTAGCGCTACCGTGGCCTTGCAGATTTTTTGCAATGCACCAAAAACAAAGTCATGAGCACACCTTCGAAAGTCTAGAAATAAGGTCTCAAAAGTGAAGGATGTTCAACATCTACTCCTTATAAAAAATGGAGGTTTTTTATAGAAGATCAGAGGAGAAAAAAACGCAAGACAGATATCAAAAGCAAAAGAAACTGTTAAGAACCAGATAAAAACGCTGCAATGAATTTGAAATCTTGCATTTGGCGGCTTTTCAAAGTGCAAATTTCCTCCAGGATCAGAAATTGCTTAATTTTTGATGCGTCCTTCGAATTTTTACCCCCGCATTGACGTTCCTGTTTCCTGGAACGTTGTCTGGATTGTTGCGCTTATTGTTCTGAGTAATAATACCTAAGCTGGAAAAAATCGCTGCGAAAACACTGAAAGAGAACAAGGTAAAGAAAAACGCAAGTTTTACGATTCTTACAAAAAAAATTCCACTATGATCAAAGAGACAAGCATTGAGTCGTTGGCTGCATAATGAACAAAAGCAAGATCTATAGAGTGCACGAAAAAACCGCGTGAGCGAAGGCAAACTAAGAGAAAAACATGAGATTTTCAAAAACAAGATTTTTGCAGGATTTTTTGTTCAAATCAAAAAACGTGGTTTTAAGGCGTTGTTAGCGTGAAAGTAGAGAACAAGAGCTTGAACATAATATATTTCTTGCTAAATTGGGTGCGGAACGACGAAGAATATGGTAACCGAGTCAAATGCCCCGCGCCCCGCGTTTGCGGATAGCGCGCAGCGCGCGAAAGTGCGGACGAGCAACGAAGGCAGATCAGAGCCGACGGGACATTTGGCTCTGGTCGTAGGGTTGGGCCAGACTGCGCGGCGTACGCGACGTACGCAGCGTACGCTGCGTATGCTCCTATGATGAAATATACCGAGCGTACGCTGCGTACGCGGCGTACGCCGCTTCCCCGCGAAGTCTGGCTCAACCCGTAGATCTCGGCAGGGTCTCAACGAAACTCGGCAGCATCATTTACCATTTGATCGCCGTGACACGGCGAGGAGCACTGACAACGTCCCAAGCGATGAAAATCTCTAGTTAATCAAATAGACCAGCATTTTCGTGCGCGACTCTATGCGCAAGATTTACGCAGTAACTCCAACAGCTTTTCTAAAATTCTGAAAGAACAATTTTGTCAAATAAGAAGTTAACTGAGAAATGTTGTTTTGATTTCTGGGAATTTCTGGGAGTCTTTTACAGAAATCTTTTTTTAGAGCAGAAGACTAAGAAAACGCAATTCTCGGTTTCGCTGCGATAATCTAAAGATATTCTTTTGTTTATTTGTTCCATTCACATACATTCCCAGTATATATAGGATTATGAGATGCGGAGCGAAGCCCCGGATGTTTTTTTCCCAGGTAAAGGTTGTGTTCTTTTTTGTTGCTCAAAGTGAACGTCACCAAAGTACGTGCTCTATGTATCAAGGGAATTGTTGTGAAACGGGTTTTGCCAAAAATAGCTTGAACAAAGTCATGAAAGAGTGTGTATTAAGGCCTTATTTGCTCAATTACATCACCGCTCATAATTTGTGGAAAAATAACGGACGGTCGCCCGAGTCTGGAACATTGCAGTGAGATCGTAAGATATCACTTTGTATCAAACAAATACTGAATTTCAGAGCACAAAACTCAGCTCGGCACGGAACATCAGCAGTTTTATAGTAGCCGGTGCATACGATAGGCTACTTTTATTGCAAAAAAACGTCGGAGTGCCGTAAGCTTGATGGCTGGTTCTTGCGAATTCTAAATTTCATACGGTAGCAAGCAGCTCACAGCAAAAATCAGTACATCGGGTGACCTAATATAAGTAAATATCAGAGAAACTTCTGTAAATGATTGCTACAATAAAATAATTGCGATCAGACAATAACTTGTATGTATCAAAGCATGAGCAAAGCCAAGCTATGTTGAGTGGTGGTTGAATTCAGAGTTCGCCTTGATGCAGATTTAGTCAGGGAACTGAATGAACTTCCTGTCAGCAGTTCTCTATTTTATGCTACCCCTCCGAAAAGTTTAAAGCATAGATAACGATACTCGATTCATTTTATCTGAAAGCAAAGGCCAGCACCCAAGCGGAGATTCGCACACCAAAAGCGCTACACGGCTTATCGGCATTTTTCGAGTACAATACGCAGATAAAGAGCAAAAGCCAAACACCATTGTCATGAGAATAATTCAGGTATTTTTACGCATAACACAAATGACTCCTGTTGTTTATGCAAGTTGCAAGCAAAAATATGGTGGAAAAACTGAAGTTTCTAGATGCACGAATTTTGGCGAATTTTGAACATCAATTTTTACCAATTCAAATATGCTCAACTTAAAAGTCTCATTTTCTACACCGCCAAATGCGTAGTCTTTGATTAAACGGTACTGACTGCTGGGAGGAGTGGCTTCGAGGCCTAATCAAGGCTAACGAATGATTAGAGAGCACGCTCGCGAAAGAGACGCGGAATGTGTCGCGAGCGAAAGTGGTCGCCTACCAACCGCCATCTCGCTGAATCAAAGGATAGAACTGTGTCATTACCCCAGAAATTATACCAAAATTCCGTCCATGAGAAACTGCTAAGTTCGTTTTTACTGATAATTTTTCAATAAAAGTGTGCATTGACCGCAGTTGTTTTTCTTAGGACTCGTGTGGGTTTCGCAATATCTATCTTCCGAAATTGTTTCGCAGGTGACTGTAAACAAAAATTTCACGAAATGCCTTATACATGCTGAAGCAAGCCTAAACAATTCTCGCTACTGATACATTTCGAACAGAGAGCAGAAACCAGATGTGCCTTCATCCGTGGGGAAAGCCGCTACGATGTTATTTTATATCGTAGTAGTTCCTTGTATAGCTGTCCATTGAAAAAGTCAGTGTATGGCCGGAATGCTGATGAAGAAGGTAAAATTATTTTATAGGGTTCGGATGTGCTCTATGCATATGTCTCTCGTCATCAGTAGCAATAACGTCTACACAATCACTTGTTCAGGGCTTCCTTCCAGTTCTGACCATTTCCTACTCATTACTACCACAACGTAAACATTTCAATGCTAATATTGACACATTCTGAATTTTGGAGCTTGATTTCGAGCGTTCAAAGATATTGAAAAGGTGGCCTTATGCATAAAAACTCAGTACCCTTGATATTCACATTTTCTTATACCAACAGCTCTGGCTGGAATTCTATTGATCTCCAACTTTTATACTACTCATACACGAATACAGATTTGCAATCTCAGTTATCTTCTTAAATCAAAGATTAGAATAGTGCCTACGCTGTATTATGCTCAAATAACTCTCGTGTACTCTGCTCTTCCAAGTATCACCATACTTAATACGGCAGTAAAGCGCGAACCGGATAAGGAGCGTGAAGTGATTAACACTCCACGATGTGATAAGAAAAAGATTGCTCCAAATGCGTTTCCAGCGAAACGGAAGATAATCCTAACGCATCGATCATCTTTGCAATTCAGAAAGTATGGTGATGAAGTAAGGTATCCCATTTACA